ACACACACATAGAGAGAAAAATGGTCTTTATAATGTAACAAGTACAAAGCCACGCATGCACACGCACACACTCCTCAATTAGGTCTGTGTGTTTTTATTTATGCAGCTGTTGTTTAATGACATATATCCTCACAGGGGAGCCTCTGTTTGCACTCAAAGTTCTAAGCAAACGACTTCGACTAGTTGAACTTTATCTTTTGTTGTCAACAGTGGTTCAGTCATGTGACATACTGGAATATAAGCGACAAAGTGGCCTCAGCTCTTTACGTCACCTTTTTTTTTTCATCTGATTTGTCTGCGTCAAAATACAAGATTACAGCGTCAATCCCCCTTATATAAACTGATTTTAGATTAAGTAGCCAGAAACCGTACTCAAAATAACTTCAGTAGAAGAAAAATAATTTACCCCAAAAAATTACAAGTGTAGGGGTACTTGAGTATTACTGTGTAATCTGATTTAATTTGTTAAAATATTGTAATTATACAGAAATTATACAAGTGGAATTATAAAAGAGTAAGTAAAAATAACATCATCATAAGATGAAAAAAAACAAACTCAAGAAATAGAAAATAACACGAAGCTTTTTTACAAACCTTATGTCTCACCGTTCACATCACTGTTTTTGTATCAGGCAGGTTATTAGTCAAAACATACTTGATGTATTTTGTGAAATAACCAGAGTAGCCAAAAATTAATAACAAGACTTTATTACTCAAGTTGAAATAAAAAAAAATATGATGCAGTAAAACTGCTCCTAAATATGTTCTTTCAAAGTTACTTGGGTAAATGTCGCTAACTAAATGTGACTAAAAAAGTTACTAGTAGCTACTTACTACTGGTTCTAGAGCTGTTGTCTTGCTATATTTCTTGCTTTACTTTGCGCACCAAAGTCTAAGAGTTAAGTACATAGCAAATACACTTCATTTAAAGATTGAACTGTTTTTCTTTTACTTAAGTTCTTCCCTTTTACTGATCTGTAGCTTGACTACAGTTAATGATTCAGCACAATGTCACAGTGAGTCATGTGCTGACAAACCCATAAAGGAAACAAGCATATACCTACACATGCAGTCATGCAATAGATAACCAGAATCTATGCCATCGTCACAGTCGTATCCTAATTTCTTCATCCCCTATCAGCTACAAACCTTGGTCCTTACTACAGCTTCCTCTATGTCAGCATTGATTTTATTTATCACTATTGATTTAAGATATAAGATCTTACACTTAATCATCATGCATATACCCTTTGTACATTTGAACTGAGTCTGACCTGTACTAAAACACCACCTGTCTGAGTTTTATTACGGCATGGAAAGCAAACTCTGTTTAATTTGAACATTCAGTAGTATGCATGCTGACTTTTTCCCTTTATGTTGTCTGTTGATAGGGAATCCTGACATTCCAAAACCCAAGCGTATCCTGCGCTCATCTTGGGGCAGCAACCCCTACATCCGAGGCTCCTACTCCTTCACCAGGGTCGGGTCCAGTGGACAAGACTGTGAAAGGCTGGCCATGCCGCTGCCTTATGCGAACAGCACAAAGGCTCCAGTAAGACAACTGCACAAAGTACATTTCATGTTTTTCTCATTTGCCATGCACTCAAAAAATTCTTTTTTTAGGGGTCTCACAATCTGAAAACATTTTACCCATTTTGTCACTTTGAAACCTTCAGCGTGTTTAATTGGAATTTCATGAGACAGGCCATCACAAAGCTTTTCATAATTGTGAAATGGAGAAAACATGTCAGTCTCAAAGGTTTCTTACTGAGAAATAAGAGTGCGTCACGTTTTCTGCGCTAAATAAATTATCATGCAATCAGTTGCCTTCAGAAGTCTAAATACTACAGAGTGTTTTACCTGTAATTTAATCTCGGTCTCAATCCAGTTGTTGTGAGAAGGCCTTACATGCTTATTAGAGAACATCAGTGGACAAACAGCATCATGAAGATGGAGAAACAGCAAACAGATCAGGGAGAAGTGGTGATGACAGCAACTAAACTGACAGTCTCTTAATCAGGGGAGACAAGAGGCCTGTGGTACCTCTGGAGGAGCTGCAGAGATCCACTGCTCAAGTCTACTATTTTTTGATTGAACAACTATTAGCTATGCACTCTAGAAAGCTGGCCTTTATGGGAGAGTTGCAATTAACAGACATTTGTGAAAGAAAGAAAGAAAGAAGAGAAAGAAAGAAAAAAAAAAAAAAAGAAAGAAAGAAAGAAAGAAAGAAAGAAAGAAAGAAAGAAAGAAAGAAAGAAAGAAAGAAAGAAAGAAAGAAAGAAAGAAAGAAAGAAAGGAAGAAAGGAAGAAAGAAAGAGAAAGATTTAAGAAGCTTGTTTATTGTTGTGAAACCATGTGCAGGTGTAACAGCAGCAAAATGTAATTCAGCTAATATTGATTCAGGAACACTGGGAAACTGAACACCAACTAAACACCAGCTGGAAATGCACCAGCTTTTTATTTTACATATACAAAATTAACATTGTTCTCATTTTGCACCACTAGGGTTTGCAAAACAAAATGGTTGTAAAATACAAAGAAAATCCTGATTGTAATGTGTCAAAATGTGTGAAAGTTAATGAACAGGTTTTCTGTCACCCATTCAGTTCAGATACAGTCATCCTAAACTAGGTAAATATATGCATAGATCTAATATGTCTACACAGAAATCAGCAACCGTCACACTGCCAACACATTTAGAACAAATGGTGTCAAGAGAGCAAATGTTAATTGTTGCCCACAAGGGTGGAGCATGAAACCTGATAATTCTGGGCGAAGAGGAAAATGAGTGAGAGGTGTGTTTGATAGGTGGGAGTTATTCATGTACATTTGACACTCCTGCAGGGAAAGCATGACCTCTCTCAGCTGAGAGTCCTTCAGGCCAGCCAAACTAAAATCACACTCAGGTTAGCTCCTGCAGCACTTCAGCAAGTGAACCTCCAACGAGGGAAAGAGAAATAGAAGACGATGCCTCTGGGAAGGCTAGAACCATATGATACTGACAAATGCTGCTATTAATCTGAATTTGTTCTCTAACATGTTTTCCCTTTTGTCTCTCCCTCCCACTCCCCCGCTTTCTTTTGCTCCTTCCTTAGCCGCTGCAGGTCCTGTTTGCTGGAGAGGCCACCCACAGAAAGTACTATTCCACAACACATGGTGCTTTGCTCTCAGGGCAGAGAGAGGCCACTCGCTTGATGGAGGAGTACCATGACCACAAAGCCTAATATAATCTATATAAAGATATTGAGCCTCCAACTAGTAAAAAAATTACAAACCATTGACTTAAAGCTTTCTGTCTTAAATGATTAGGTTCCATGTATAAGCATAGCTCGGGCATTATTACACTGATAAATGAGTATTTTTCACGTACTGTAGGTTTTAAATCAGCTTAAGTTCATTTTAAATGTTTTGTTTTAACAGTTATCAACGGTGCTGTAATTTCTTGTCTTGGCCATTCTTTCATGACGCTGTTACAGTTTTGTTTTTTTTCTAAATCAGGAATTTAACGTTCATAGCAGCAACATCTTTAATTTACATTTTTATAAGTGCCTTCTGTATTCAATATCATGTTTCTTCAAAAATAATGAAGATAATTAACAAAAATTGTGCAAATTTTAACAAAATAAAAGTTCTATGATCATTCGCCAGCATCATAGCTTTTTATAAGAAGGTGTTTCAATCAACTGGAAAAAAAAGTAACAAACACCAGTGGTTTTTCTGGAAGTAATAAAATCACCTGAGTCCATTAAACATTAACACAACATTTGGTTGTTTGTATTTGAAGTTCCACTGAAACTCAGGGACAACATTCAGCATTTGGCCTGAGATTGTTAAATCAGTCAGATTAAAGGATTGTGAGGATGAGTGGAAGGTGAAACTTTGTTTTCTGTCGGCTCTGCACTCTCCTCCTCTATTCAGACAGGGAGAACAAGATGAGGAGAACGCCGAGACAAAGTTCTGGCATGACTCCTGCTCCGGCAGAGGAACACGTGAGGCTGCAGAGGAATTAACCATTCAGCTGCAGCTGCAGCTTCACCATCACCGGCCGGTCAAGCATTCTGGCTCAATACATTTAAAGACACAGTTTTAACAGCTTCGCTCAACATTGTCAGCTGAGAAAAAGCACAAATATCTGGGCTTAAAGTGACACATATTTGATACTTAGTAAAACCTAAATGATAAATGGCTCTTGGTTAGATTTTGCCTTAAAGGAGTATTATTCTACGTTTTTTAAATGACACAACTAGATATTTTTTAAGACTTTTTTGTATTAAGACAAAAGTCAAGAAAAGTGAATGTCTGTGGAATATGCCAACTGTTTGAAGTAGCAAAGCTTAAAAGAAAGTGAACTTATTCACATTCTTGCATTTAACAAATGAAAATAAGGATTTTTTTGGCTCTTGTGGCCTTTGTTTGGTAGTGAAGCAACAGGCAAGCGGGTTGCGAGAGATGGGTAAGACATGGCAAAAGTCAACGGGCAGGGACTCAAACCCGTGACGGCCGCATCGAGAACTGGGTCACGGGTTTTACCCTTGCACCACTCCCACACCCAAAAGTGTCATTCTTTTCTTGCCGCCCTGGTTTCATCACATCCTCTTGGCAAAACTCATTTTCATTACTAGTTCTCCATTGGAGGGTCATATAAGTCAAGTTTATTTGTATCCCAAATTTCAGCAATGAGGCAAATCACACTGCCTTAAATGATAAAAACATACAATAAACAACAACAAAGGGACATTGCACTCCAGTGGCAAAGTAAAGAAAAGAAAGTCAGCATTTTTGCAGTTTTCTGGAAGGTTGTTCCAAATTAGAGGAGCATAAAGACTGAATGCTGCTTCTCCATGTTTGTAAGGTTTTGACTAGAATCCCAGAAAGGTTGTATGACAATTGTTTTTGGGTCAAATAACTGGCGTAATGCAGTCAAGGCCTCAGACAAATATTAAATATAGTTCATCCATAGTCAATACGTAGACATAGATTTAAAGAACAAAAAGAGGAAGTACAGTTTAAAGCAGTTTTATTGATGACATCAAATGAATGAAAATCCATCTATTGCAGTCATCGTAGAAGGCTGTTAGATCTTTTTGGAAAAGTTTTTTGTTTTCATCAACAGAATTCATGTGTTCGCAGAAATTGGGATGAATCACCTGTCGATGGCAGTAAGAAACAAACTAAAAACTAACACAAAAAAAAAAGAAAAGAGAATGCATTAATAATTGCCCTGTTAAATGTTGAGGTAATGTGTAAAACACTTCAGATGAATGGGCAGAGTACAATCATTCACACATAAAATATATACAGAAGTACATTAACACTCACGCAGTTTTCTTCTCCTATTGCACGGCATGATAAAAATGTTTACAGAGGACACTTGAGTCAAAAAAGTTACTGTTCAAGAATAATGCATTGAGACAAGGTAAGTACAGATGGAAGCCAAAGTTACAGGTTTTTCCAGCGTCACTGGCACCTTTACGCCGTAGTTTTATGGCCTACAGAGCCTGCAGCGTCTACAAAGAGTCTGTATTCACAACCGAGCGAGAATACCGTTGATGTGAGTGTGAAATTTACAGGGTAGAAGTAAAGCAAAGATGGCAACAAATACAAATATAAGGTCATACTGGCAACTGAAAAAGCACTTAAATGTAGTTAAAAGAGAGCGATAGGTTCCAGTGTGGGAGATGTTGCCCGTTCTCAAACAGAGATAAGCAGTTTATTACTTTTATTTCCAACAATCAAGCAACAGACATCCCAGAAATATCTGTCTAAATGAATGACCGACGGGCCATAGAAAGTGTTCAAGAAAGGAAAGTGCATCTTTTTTTTTTTTTTAAATACCCAAAAACATTAGAAACACTCTTATAATAAACATCTGAAATAGTGTTTTTCTCTATAGTGCAACAACAGACAGGATCAAATGAAGATTATTATTAACCTGCAGGCAATCAAAGCTCTTTAAACATCTAATTGTTTTTTTCTTTTTTTATGCCACAGTAGCAGAACAGTTAAAAAGGCAACTCAATGATTGATGCATGAACACAAACATGCCAACATTATACTGTACACAGCGCTTTTTTTATATAGAAATAAATAGGTGAATTATCATCTTTAACCTTTTTAAATAATCTCCATCTCTATATGAATCTGATGCACATTTAATATAAAGTATCTAGTACACAACTGCAATTTTAACACTACTGTTAGACATAATATAGTTCTCTATGTTATTCATTGGACTCTAAATGAAGACCTGTAAACTTCAGTTTTTCCACTCCGACTCATCACCTTATTATAATAACATCAAATGTCGGTCATTTTTTTCAGGATTTTTTTTCTTCTTTTTTTTTTATATACAAACATTATATACAGAGTAGCTGATAATGAATGCAGGATTGTCTGAAACTCAAAATCAACAAGTGCTTTGTGGGGAGTTTTCTCTACTGTGAAGTTTATCTCCTCTATCTTGAGCCTTTTTCCTTCAGGTTAGCCAGCAACCAATCCACATCAGAGTGGAATAAAAAGGGGGAGAGTCACAGCTTACAGAATATTATGTGACCATACATATAATTTAACATGTGCTCTTGGTGAGCAAGTCAGGCAAAGGGCTCATACAAATTTTTCCTTTCAAAACTCAGGACTTAAAATTTTCAAATTTCTCATTTTATTTTCAGACAGTTTTTCACAAGCAAGTGAAAACAGCTTTTTTTTTAACATTTAGCAAAGCCCAAACTTCTTTCGCTTTTTAGTCAAGGTGAAAATTTCACTGCCTCATCATATTGAGATGACAAAAATCTAGAGCCGATTTTGTTATCATGCTCAAATGTTACTTCATCTGAAGATATTAAGATCTTGAGCTCAATATGTAATGATAGAAATTTTAGTCTTGTTTTGATAGGAAAATGCCTTTAACATTTTTTTTGTTGAGATGACAACTTCATTGCTTTATGCTCTTGTCCTAAGCTCTGTGTCTCATTTTCTCATTATAATGCTTTTATTATATCATAATCTCAAGAAAGTTTTTTTTGTTGTTTTTTTAAAGATTAGGGTTTCTCTTTCACATTATCTAAAGATCATAAAATTTCAAGCTCGCTTTTGATGCAGTAACAGTTCTCTTGTCTTTATTTTATCAGTAATGAGATTTTAAACTCACTTCTCATTAAATATCTTTGATACTATGCAGAGAAAAATGACTTAGGATACTTTGTGCTTAAGATACGGCAGTTGTGGTAACAGTTTCTTAATACCATTATCTTGAGATAATGAGACCATGGGATTGATTTTGCTATCATCTCATTTATCTGATATCCAAAACTCAAATGTTTGAAATAATGGGCTAAGATGTTTTATCAACCCCTCTTCCCCGAAAAAAAGTCAACACATCTATCATAGCCCCATAAGTTTTTGTATTTGTCATACAAATTTCACATTTGTAAAGATTATGTCAGATCCCTCTACATAACCTGCAGCAAACAAATGGGAAGGACTGTTATGTTCATCCTGTAAAGTGATTTCATTTCAATCTGCAATCAGATTTTGTGCATATTTTAGAGAATGATAAAATATTGCACATCATTAAAGTTAGAGATAAGGAGAAATCAGTGCACTAGAATGCAAAACATTTTTGGTCCAAAGTAGGGATTACATTCCATCAAATAAAACAGTGAATCCTTTTTAAGGCCTGGCAAACACACACCTCTAACATCCAAAACTTTGAGCTCGAGACAGAGCCATCAGATCAACAGGCTTGTTGTTCCGCTGTAGTAAAGCGGCACTGGAATCAGAAAACGTGTAGAGCAGTGCTGTCTTCAATCCAAAAAGACAATACAGCTAATCAAAGTTTTACTAAGTTTTTGCCAAATCAATTTTCTAACTTGAACGGAAGTCCTGAAGACCTGGAGCATAACACTTGCCCCGGATCCCTTAATGTACAGGGGTCAGCTCCATTCACCCTAGCTGTGATGCTGGGTGGAAGAAAACATCAGAAGAGGGTCAGAAGACATCACCTAATGGATTAAAATGCAGAGAATAGCCCCTGTGATGCAAATGGCACTGTTCAGTATGAATACAAACACTAGAACACCTGTACACACCTGGATAATTTGCTTTATGGGAAACACAACACTTTAAATTCAGTTTGAGCTGCTTCTGCTCACAGCAAACTTGAGACCAGTAGGGACACTGGTGACTTGCCTGGTCCCTCATCCTTTTATAATTGGCACACCGGAGAAGGAAATATTGGAATAAAGATGAACGTCGCTACAAAATGCACCAGCGACTTAGTATACTCCGTACTGTCCTCTGACGCAAACAGATCCAGAGATTACACCAAAGTTCATTAACATTGAATTCAGTTTGGCTGACATGGATATTCTGATACAAGGAAGCAGAGGACGGTACTGGAGGCAAAACCCAGCGCTACCATGCACTTTCAGGATAACATGATCTGTGTGTTGCAGGGCGGGAGCCCCCCACCCTTTCAGTGCATGTTCACACACTTGGATTTGGCAAGTTTGCAGGACAGAGTGCAATAAGCATTCATTTCCTCGACATCATACCTAAGCATAAAGCTCCCGTTACAAACCTTTAGGAAAAAAATGCCTCAACTTCTTGTGAAAACAGATGCTTGATGGGCTTCTGTGGGAATACGCAAGTTCCCCATCTTGTTTCTGCGGTTGATGTTGAAGCTAGCTTGCATTAAGTATAATGCAGATGCAGAAAGTAAGAATGCAGCGTGTGACACTCCAAGTGGCTCCACGTTTAGATAGATTGTGGAAGAGAGACGGTTTTGAAAGCAGCTGTGTTTCTTTAGTTAGTAAGGTTTATACAGGCTCTTGGTTGAGAATCTACTGCCAGTGAAGATCGCCAACATTTAGCACATTTTCATCAAATCTGGTTCTGTTTTTCAGATATTTAGTTCGTAAAATATACTTGGTAATCCTGGGCCTTTATTCATCAATGAGATCTTTCTTGGTTCTGTTACTTGTGCTCCAAATGCATCTAGCCACCAAGAGGTGGGCTCAAGCTACCTGTGTCCCGCGGATCAACTCATACTGTGGTCGCACGCTCCAGCAACCTGCACCAAGGATGTTAGCAGAGGCTGTCTGCTTTCACATGGAGGATTTTGGAGAAACCCGGTCTCTTCTTTAGAGCCTGAAACAACAGAAAACAAAAGAGAGATAAAGGATAGGAATAAAAATAAATTCCTGTCAAATTTGTGGCGCACCACTAATAGCTGCGCTGCTAACAGATTCTCCCAATTTAGCAATGGATCGCTGCAGCTCTACAGGCCTCTTGCCTGACTCTGTCCATTTCTGTAGGATAGTCAGGATTATTGGTGCAAATGAGACTGAGAATGATTCCATGTCACAATTTAGATGTTTTTTTTTAAAGCAATACAAAAATCATGTATCATTTCTAAAATTATGCACTACTTTGTATCGGTCTGCCGCATAAAATCCAAAATAAGTTCACTGAGGTCTGTGAACATGACAAAAATAAGTAAATGTGTCCAACACATGTTGTGGTGAAGCCACAGCAATGAGCTCATTGCAGCACACGTCAGTCTGACACATCAAAACAGAGCCTTTCATGTCTCCAGTCATGGGTGTTATGAAACCAGCTCACACAATCAGTCCCACTCATCCAACAGCAATAGATTCAACAATTGAATCAAGAGTCAATTCTGACAAAAACAGATGTATAATTTCTAATTTGCCACAGGAACATTTTGCACACCAGGAACTACCAGTAAAAAGTCAGCTTGGAAAATTCTAAAACTTTAGGCCATCAGTGATTTGGAAAGTGCGGGGGCACTGCTGTGAATCACAGAGGTGTTGTTTACCTGCAGCTTGTTAACCATTTCATCAAACAGCTTTCTGGCTTCTGGGCTGTTGGGGTCCTCAAAGTAGTCTTCTATACCAATCTGAACCACGATGGATTTCAGGTTGCGGCAAACACCTGGTTAGAAGGAGGATTTGTGGATGAAATTCACATCTGAAAGTTGTGGTCAGCTGGGGAGATTTAAATTACTCAAAAGAGCTCTAAAGAAAAAGCTTTGAAACAGAAAAAAAAGAGATAAAACAAAAATAATAGACCAGACTTTGACTTCGAACCGTGTTACTCATCAGTCTCAACTCACTGTTGAAGTGGAGCAAGGCTTTAGGGGTGACCGGTGTGGATGAAAGCACCAACATCTCCAGACCCTTCAGACCCTCTCTGCAAACCTCTGCTGCCACCTCCTGGTTGATTTCACTCACATGGTCCAACTCCAACACCTGCAGGCGCATGCAGTTCCTCGCTGAACAAATGGGAAAGAGGAACAGCCCACATTCAACACATGGACCAAGTAGGAACACGTTTTAGTACAACACATTCACGCAATTTATTTTTATGATCTATAGTTTCAAGAAATCATGAAACAACACAATCCCTAAAGCTGTCTTGTGATTCAGCAGTGGATGGATTATCTGACACTGAGTGTAGATTGTACTGGAAGAATCAAACATCAAAGTAAACAATATGATAACGCAACTTAAATGAAAAATAAAAACAAAAATAAAAGGCATCGGTGACATATAACCAAATCATTTTCTTGAGTTCAGATTGGATTTTTTTTATTTTTAAAGCCATATTTGTACACAATGAATGGTTGCCTTGTCAAAAGATGCTCCCAACTGAGATTTCTGATTAATGTTCTCAGGGTAACCACAGCAGTCTCGTGGAAAGTATCATGCTATAAGAATATTTTTAAGTAAAACAAGACCACTATAATTCTGCTGTACGTTCAATATTTACCCAGTGAGGCGAGTCCCTGAATCCCACATCCAGCTCCACCCACACCAAGAGCACGGAGATGTGGCCAGCATCTTCCAATCGTCTGCAGGCATCGGTTACTGAAACGCGCTGGCTGTTGACTGAGAGAAACAAACACTGATGAAAACTTAATCCCCGGATTGCTCTTTCTGTTATTAATTTTATGGCTAATTATTAATAAATGTTGCATCATTTTTACCATGGATGTAGGGGCGCCACCTGCAGAGAAATAATATCTCTACACCCTGCGCCAAGGGCCCAGATAACCTCCTGGCCAACTGGATCTGTGGCGCTCCTGCAGAAATAATAAACATGATGTATGTTTGAAGATACAGTGTGGAGATAGTGGCTTTGTTTACCTTACGTGAAATAAAGTAAGGTTAGAAAAAAAAAGACAATGAGGTCAGATTCATGCTGTAAAATTTTAAGATAGTTGGGATCTGATGGCAACCTGTAGGTTACAGCCTGGAGGGCACGGCAGTAGCAGCTGGCCAGCCATAGGGAGCGATCAGTCAGCAGGTTGGGACAGTGTGAAATCTTTAGTATCAGCAGGTTACTTCCTGTGGCCTTTAACAACGCCTCCAAACCTTCCTCAAGACAGCCACTTTTGACCGGAATATAAGAGAAGGTCACAGGAGAAAAGAAGAAAAAAAAAAGTCGTAAAAATAAAGGTCACTTTTAATCATACTTCACATCTAACAACGTCAAGACATGCTCCTGGGAGCTCTGCTGCTGGTGCTTTTTGCAACAATCATCAGATGTATTCAGCGTGCAGCATTCAAGAGAACTTTATGCGACTGAATGTGTGTCCTTCATACAAACAACAATCCACTTGAATCAAACCTTGTTGCTTTTTCCTTTCTGGCAAATAAAAGCTGATATCCACATGCTGAGAATAATTAAACCGCACAAAAATGTCAGCATGCATCACTAAATGTCAGCATGCATCACTTGTGTTCTCTCTGCTGGCTTTCTTCTCATCAGTCACTGTTCAGGAAATCACTCAGTCCGTCGCTCGGCCACAACAGTTGGGCAAACAATATGTTTAATCAAGTAAAGGCAGCACACAGAGCAGGAATAAATACCCCGGAGGAACTAAGGCTATAATCTGCTACAGCATGTCAGTGAACATGTCGGTGTCTCACCGTGTGCTTTTAAGGTAGTCCTCCTTGGATTCTTTCTTGCCTCGCTGCCTTGGTTTAAGGTTTTGGAGAATGAGGGAGTGTGTCTGAGTGCACCACTGAGACAATGTGGTCAAAAACTAGAGAAAAAAATAAACTTACGATAGTTAGACTGTTCCACAATTATTTTCTTTGAAACAGAGGACAAAGCGCAACAACAAACATGGACAATGCACCTTGGAAGAAATGCGAGCGTTTTCCAGCAGCACTCTGGTCCACACAGCTGGGTGTCGGGCCACGAACCTCCAGTTGCGGCAGACCTCTGCGGTTCTCAGGAGGGTTTTGGTGTCCAGGTAGGTGAAGATGCAGAAAAGCGCTGCACGCATCTTCAGGATCTCTGGACTTATCACCTCATTGGATTTCGATGGGCTCTTTTCATGGCGGCATGGCTTGCTGTAAACCACATCAGACCGACCTGTGGCAACAACACAGCCTTTCAGACCTTTAACAGACACATACAGAGCCTCAAGAAAGTTTCCATAGCTCTTGAAATTGACCCCATTTTGTTATTACAAAATAATAGACTAACACAAAGATCCATCATGCTAAGTCACTATATAGAACCCCATACATCAAACTAATTTTATCTAGTTCTGTACAGTAAATCTGAGAGCCTTTTGGAAACAAAACATAATAATAACTTTGTTGTTATATATTTTAGATAATGTACAGTCTCAAAGCTTGTTTTTAATTTTTTCCTTTCTGGTACATCTTGAACTTTGTTGCAGCTTTTCTGAAAGATTACTTCACTCACTCTTTTTGAATGGGATGTACTTATTCCTGATCATTATGAGTCGTTTGGTCCTTAAAGTATGCTTGCCTCATGATGAGTGTCAAGCAATCGGCTAAATATCTATGAGATAAATGTTTTGTCTTCACCGTCTTGTGGTAAAACCATTTTTGTCACATGGTGGCGCTAATCTCCAACTAAAAACCACAGAACCAGATTGCATAATTAGTTTTCTGCATTTTGTCCAACAGCAGTATCCCATCTAAAGCTGTTGTTACAGTGTGTCCAATCCCAGCCTGCCTTAACCCTCGAAGCAAAATTGCTCCTCCATGACTCACTTCATCTTTGGCCTTGGAAGGCATCTGCTTGAAACCATCAGGGCTGTGAACCAATGCATACTATTTGACTCTTTCTCTCTCTCACTCATGCACACCTCCTACACTCAAGACTGCCAAATGAACTAAAAAAAACAAGCCTGTGTGCTTGCAGATATGTACCACACAAACAGCTCTGGCAGAGTCTCTCCTAATAGGGAGAACTACGTCAAAGCAGAGAGGCGCTAGCAACATGTTACACGAGACAAAAAATAAATAAACTTTTCAGCTAATGAGCAGGTCAAATTTGTACATGTGAATTTGTCACTGAGCCCAGTTTCCTTCAGTTCCAGACTGCCATGTCCACCTGATACGTCCACAGCAGATGGGACACGCAAAGTGCAGCAGCAGGGTTTGGAAGGAGGTTGGCATGGAATGATGCAAACAGAAAAATGCACAATTTGTTGTGCAGCTGAGCTGTGCAGCAATGACTGGCTAGCTGGTGTCTCATAGCTTCATAGGAACTGTAAGAGATGGTTTATTGAACCTGCTGATTCCTTGTGTTCTTGGGAGCAAAGCTGGTTAAACAATTGATGCAAAAGTTGGATCATGATATAAATATAGTTAAGTGCAAAAGTATTCATACCTCTGGGACTTTTTCTGAATTTGTTAAGTTTCAGCCACAAACATCAGTGTGTGGGATTTTTGATGTAATCTTATCAATTACGCATAATTGTAAAGTGGAAGTTGAATGTCTTCACAAGTCACATAAATAGAGTCCAGTCGTGTATGATGTAATCTCAGTGTAAAGCCAATGGTTCTGTGAAGGCCTCCGAGGTTAGTTAGAGAACATTAGTGAACAAATTGCATTATGAAGACCAAGGAATACAACAAACAGGACCTAGAAGCCAGTTCTGGAGAAGCTCCAATCTGGGAAAGGTTAAAAACAGTATTCTGAGCTTTGAAGATCTGACATCTACTTAACTTATCTAAAAATGGAAAGAGGATGGTGCAACAAGAAGAAAAGAGCACTGAAAATTTATTCCATTTACACTAACTTGAACCAAAGATACATTGGAGTGGTTTAGGTCAAAGCATATTAATGAGACTAAATGGTCCAGTTAAAGTCCAGACCTAAATTAAAATAAAACTCTGTTGCAAGACAGTGCAATGACAATAAAGTTGAATTTTATTCTATTCTATTCTAAAAGGCAGATGTTGCTCTCCATCAAATCTGACTCAATCTGATGAAATAGCAAGGGGCAAAGTTTAATCTCTCAATACGCAACGCTGGTAGATACATATCCCAAATTACTAAAAGATAAAATAACATCTCGCCCTCTCATGTTCATATAATTAATACAGCTATTAATCAGGACAGCACAGCAACTGCCAATTCAACGATGCGGCACTGCATGTGATAGTACTTTGAAGTCTGAACATCGACTCGTTTCAGCCGTATCATTAAACTTGCCTTGGTGGCAGGTGAAGAAAATAGTTTAAGATTGTGACTATTTTGCAAACAACTGTTACCCGTGTTAGGGCGATAGGCTGCCCTGCTGTGGTAAGGATAGGGTACTGCAGACTGCTGAACCTCAGCCACGGCTCTCCGCTCTTGCTCCCACATCTCCACTTCCGACTCGGTGGTCCGCGAGCCCACGTCCGACACGTCCCCCTCCTCACCCTCGGTGCTGTTCCTGTACGGCCGCCGCTGCCAGTTCTGAATGGCCTGCTTGCGAAGACCCCAGTTTCTCGATCCGCATCCCGGGGAGCGCTCGTAGCCACCCTCGCCCATGCGGCACTGCATCTGATAGTACTGCGCCTCAGGACAGTCTTCCATGGGATGCATTTCGACACTGTCGCTGTCGTAACCTCCAGAACCCTGGGAGACAGACTTTATCCTCCCTGATGCTCTGCAGAGGAAGACAAGGTATTTAAACATAAACATGGTCTTCCTGCTTCAAGCCAAACACATATCTCGCATCTCATTCTCAAAGTTCACTTTAGTCTTACTAAATAACAAAATAAGCTTAACTATTAGCATAATAAAGGTATTAGAAACATAAACGTGAACCTGCACAGAAACGTATAAGAATTAAAACCTCTGAAATCTGCATTAGACCAGATAAATCTTTGCTTTTCACAGAAAAATCTGTCTGAAAATGACAGATTGTGTTTTTAATGGGGGTTAAGTGAAAAACGGTTTCTTGGACCAGCATCATCACCACAAGTTTGCTTGGCGACAAACAGAAATTCACTCCACAACCAAAGGAAGTATTCCTCTAAACTGTGACAAAACTACTAACATTTCCCATAATTCAATATGTGAACACAACACCTAACAACAGCAAGGGTATAGAATGTATTGATCCTTAGCAAATAGCTATTATTAACCCAAGACAGGAGGCTCAGACGAGTGTGTGCTTCTGGCCACAATGTGCGTCTGTGTCTGTTCTGCTGTCAGTGATTCAACGGGAAAGGCCTGACGTCACGACAGGAAATACATTCACTACCAACTGGGACTGACAGTTGGGTTAGTCAGATTACTACGGTACAGCCATGTGTCTGAGGTTGGTGCCAGAGACACAGAATTAGTTCAGTCACACCTCAAATTGGGACATCAACCCTGGGTCTCAGTGCTGCTACTGAGGGAGATGCTAAAACTCCAGTACACTTCCCATGACTCAACAAAATCCATCATGTAGACAACACAAAACAATAAATCTTACCAGTTTATCACATAACAGCATTGGGTAATAGGTCAAAACCTCTGCACCTCTCATAAAGAGAGAGTGTCTTTCTGACAACAGCATTGTCAGAAAGCTCTGTTGTGATGCTGTAAATTTATTGTTCTTGTAGACATTTTCAGTCTCACATCAGATTTGGGGGAAAAAAAACACCCTATTGGCCAAATTTAGCACATTTAAAGGTTCTCACTATGTTCCTGATCTCTTTTTTTAAATAAATAAAGGAAGCATGAATTATCTATTGTTTACATGTGAGATAAACAACGTGTTTTTCTTCTGTTTTTGTCTTTAGCTTTATCTGAAAAAAATAATATTTCAAACTTCAGGTGACAGTTTCTGACCTACCCTGTGCTGGGAGAAGATCGTCTCTCTGATACTTGGTACATTCCCCTTGTGCTCCCAGAGAGGCTGGAATTTCTCTGAAGAAAAATGACAAATAAACAAGTGACCAAAGACTTAATTTTTCTGGAAGACATGGAAATCTTGAAAAAAAAATAAAAAAATAAATAAATAAAATTTTCATTAGTTTTGGAATCCGGAAAACGTCTGAAGGGCAAGTGTATCATTTTTCAGTATGGTGCTGATTCATAACTCACTTAACACTAAGAAGAAAGTGCTGACCAGGATGGAACACCAACATTCGTGTGGTGAAGAATTATTAACGCAGAGATCATTTTGGAAGAAAGAACGAATCAAAAACAACCAAAAAGAAAAAAAAAACACCTAAAAAAATAGGAAAATTGAATATGTGTGAAGGACAGTTTTAGTTTTAGGTGCCACAAAACAAAACCGCTTTACAATAAAAACACTAATAAGATGTAATTTAGAATTACTCAGACTCAGCTGACACTTTCTACTTTCTATTGTCTTTTCAATGACTCTGCCAGCATAAAACTCAAAAGTCCTAATTTCTTTTGAACAAAAAAGATGCAGACGTAGCTTTTTTAGTGTCTGTGAGGTGTTTATAAATGAGGACAGAAAAACCACAGAAAGTGTAAGAAGGCCTTTAAAAAAAAAGTATTTTATCCGGAGTATGTCATCTGTTTATTCAGCTTCAACAGAGAGCTAGACGCTGGTGCTTTGGGCGTCTTTCACTTAGCTTTTTTACATCTAGCCTGGAGACATTAAAACTGGGGAGGGAGCGAACTGACCCAGAGAAAGGTTTAGCAGACAACAGGAATGCTAAACAAGTGACACAGAAGTTGCTCTCTTTTGAAATCAACCTCTGTCTATTATGGTAAAAGCTGAATTTGGAAATAGTGGCAGAAGAGTTAAAGTCAAGATATTCCTTCTCAAAAAAATAAGCATGGATACCAATGATCAAAAGTTTGAAACCCTAATGTACTAATTAAGCTAATTGCTGTAAAAAAAAAAAAAACAAACAAAGCAGTGTTAAATGTCAACTTCCTTATCTGTTTGTCTTTGGATTAAAATGGCAAAACCCTGTTGTTCTCACACATACAGTGTCTAATATAATGAGCACTCACAGCAGGAAGATTAGGAAGAAATATTCTGAAGTTGGTTAGCTATGATAATAAAAAAAAAAAGTTCAAAAGGAACCAAAATCTGTACTAGTGGATAAAAGCCCTACAAAAACAGGAAAATCTACCTAAAATTCTGATGGATGCATATTTAACTTATTTTTTTTGCCTGTTTCATTTAGCCATTAAGTCTATCCAAAAGACATTCATCTGTTTGATTCTCGGGCTGGTGTCTGCTGAAAATGGGTGCCAGATCGGACACACCCTGGACAGGTCACAAGTCCACACACACAACAAAACAAGACAATCAATCTCTTGAGCATATGTGGCAAGGATATGTCTTGAGCAGGCAAATTTAGACTCTCCGATAGAACTAACAGGCATATTTTTGAACTGTTGGAAGAAACTGAACATGCGCAGGTATGCAATGTGTAGATAGAAAGGCCCCAGAACCTTCTTGCCCTGAGAAATCCGAACCTCCATGCAACCCCATCAAGTACAAATGATGAGAAAGTAGAGCTAGCTGAACATTTAGGCAGCATACTAATCATCAACAGTATGAAAAAAGAAAACAAAAAACAGATCAATAATTATTTCAATCCATAAATTATAAAATTTATGGAAAGCAGATCTGAAAGCAGATGACAATTCTATTTGTTCACAGGTCTAAAAAGCTCATTCTCACGCTGTTTTCTTTGAAACAAATTCCTCTCGTCACTCTTTCACATGTCACTCATCCCCAAAGCGCTCACTGTTTGCACGAGACTGTGCATAGACATGAGTGAAGCACAGCCAGGTGTAGGCTTGAGTACTGACATGCCCCAGAGGCTGAGCAAACACAAGCACAATTTCTCCTTTTTCCCCTTCTTCCCACTTCTTGCCAATGGAAATGGTCTGTACAGGAAATAGGCAAACTGGCTGAGACTCTGAGCCCGAGACACACTGATAAAAAACAGAAGAGGAGCAAATCGACAGAACAGGGGCGAAATAATAATGTATTTGTCTATAGCGGTCTGGGTGAAATTTGAGTATGTTTCCGCTTCGAAGAAATTTCAGCAAACGCTGACATTTGATTCAAGCTGCGTTCCCTTTGTTTTCTGTGAGAAAACACTTCAAATCAGCCTGGAATTGAAATCAGAGAGAGCCGGAAACAAGTCCACCCTGAGTGTCAGCCCTCAAATAAGTCTTTGGCTGTGAGACTCGTCTCCTCGGAGATGAGGGCGACCCCCTGCCACCGGATGGAGGGAGGAAGAGAGGCTGCGAGGGTGGGTGGCTGCCTGGGTAACATCTCCAGGCTTCCCATTCACGGCGTTACAAGGTGTCAGACAGTTTGAGCTTTACTCCACACTTGTGCTCCTCATGCTGATGTTTCAGCCAGACAACACTGCACATGCATGCAAACACGAAACTGAGATATCTCAACTTTTAACACAATGCAGCTAAATGCAGGCAATAATGTTGATCCAGAATGGGTAATGTGGCATCTCTGAATGAATATGGTAAAAGAAATAAAACCTTCCAGTCCTGGAAATGTATTTAGCAGGCATTTGCAGGTTAACTGTGCTTTTATTTAGCTGAAAATAGCACCAGGCTCTTCTCTCTTGAATTCAGATCACAGGTTTCTCAATAAGACGTGGGCTTTAGAACTGGGATGGCCTTGGAAAAAGGTTCACCAGTGAACTATAATTGCATTGACTTAACCATATGTTTTGGATCGCGAACTTAGCAAACTGCATATTTACATTTGTTATGGTAGGAGGGAAAAAGCACTTTGCTGGCATGTCTCCAAAACAACAATCTGTAATGTGTAAGACGTCAATGAAAATATATATTAGTTTTAAAGGGATTCATAAGTATTCCACTAGTGACTTTTTGTGAAATTATCTTTTCAGATAACTGAAAATTGCTTGAACAAACTTACAAATGAAAGACTACGAACATTTTTTTTGTGAAAGTACGCGAGAAAAGAGATACATAATGTAAGGGTTAATTTGTACCTTTACGAGGGGATGACTACAAATTTGTCAGTTTCTGTGCATCATGAACAATGGCAAACATTGCACTAAGTGAGGGATTAATAATGCCTCTGTACAGTCACTGATGGTCTTTGAAGTGAAGAATTTTCACACAGAGCCTAAGAGAAAATTCAGTCTCAGGCAGATCTGAAGCACATCTGATTAAAAATCCTGTAAAACCTTGATGGAAAGCAGGAGTTAGTTTCCATGGCAGCACACACATTTGCAGAATATGAGCAAGTCATCTCTTTATCCACAGGTGTTGGATAATAATTTAAAAAGGTGTCATTTTAAGATCGACCTTTTGGATATTGTTTTTTTTTTTCCTTTTCTTTCTGTCTTTTTTTTGCATCGTTGTGTAATAAGACAAAACATAAGGGGAGAGTGGCACAGTTCAAGCCCTGAGCCTGGAGTCAAAAGAGCTGGACGTCAGTCTAAAGCTGCAGAGGCTCCTCTTTGTGCATTACACTCTCTGGTAAAGATAAATTGCAGCAGAGACTCGATGTTCTGACTGATATGGTGCTGAATGATAAGCAGACAAGGATCATGCTTCCTGTTTCTGTAGTCTCCTTGTTGATCAAAAGATCATCTGGGGACTCCTGTTGGAGGAACGTAATCCAAAAACCTCCCTGATCTTTCACTTTAGGTTTAAAAAGCAACTTATGTCTGTGACTCCCCTCTTTAATTCAAATTGGCATTATAAGTAAAAAAATGCATATGTGTGTTTTGAGGCAAAAGTTGGCAGTTCAGCATTCCTGATGAATTTGACTCTAGCTATTTTATTTACCCCTCAAACACATTTAAAACGGAACCAAAACAATCCAACAGTAGTGCATAAATACTGCATTAAGACCACAAACGAAAAATATGTTGAAAGATCCGAACCTGGCGCCCTGTGCCCTTGGAGGCCTGCAGACTGCAGCGTCCCAAGCTGCCGTTCGGTGTGGTGCCACAGCTGCTGATGATCTGCAGCTGTTTCTCAGCACGGTCAGCTCGGTCCAGAAGCTCTTCAATGAACTGCTGCAGGCGCACCTTAGCATTGGCTTCCCGTGCCGCCGTCTCCTGAAGGAACTGGTCGATCTGGGAAACCTCCCTGCACACACGGTGGAAGGAGGCACTTTCATAAGGACAGTCTTTAAACTAGAAGCTGTTTCCCAGTGGGACAGAAGTGTGAGGAGGGCAGAAGCAGCTGTCCTAGTAAATCCCAGATACTCTAAGTGAATACAACTGGAGCAACAACAATTTGTCTTTGTGGCACCGCGTCATTTAAACATTAGGCGACTCTTACATTGTGAAAAGATGATCTTTACTTTTCTATTTTGGTATGTTTTCTTTTAAGATGCTGAAATGTAGACAGATGCATTTCTTTTCTGTGCAGAAGAGCTACTGCAGATAATTCACCTGAGAATGAAAAAGGAGTCACTGAAAATGTCCCAGCCATTAAATGAAAAACTGGGTCAGAAGTGTGTTTGTTTGTGAGCATGACGGTCATTAGTTTGGATCTATGTTTAGCCGAAATCCATCAGTCGATGCATCAAAACATCATACATCCCAGAACCTACTCCTCAGCAGCAGAAACACGCATAATACATTCTTCTGAAATGGGGACATTTAGAGATAAAAATAGTTTGGTGTCTGGCACAGTTAACTTTACTTCTCTCCAGGCACAGATGACAAGAATTGTGTATCTAAAATTAGTCAAGGTAGCTGACAGTCAGCCAGACGTAAAAGCTGCATGACAAAACAATGAATCAGCAAATGAAAAGAAAGTGAACTATTTAAGGAGGATTTTGCTTTTTTTTGTTTTCACTACAAATTGAAACCTCAAAGGGCAATTTGTGAAAATAGAAATGCATTTTATTCAATCTTAAATAAGTACATTTATTTCAGTGGGTCAATTTAAAAACTGAAACTTAAATATTTATTTTAGACAGGGTAGCATTTTTCAAATTATATTTATGGCAATTTTAATAGTTATGGCTTACAACAAATGAAAATAATTTGTTGTAATTTTAGAATATTACATACCACCAATAAAAAACCCCAAAACAAACATCTGTAACACATAAACACCATGTTATGGTTCATACAATGAGGGAGAAAATTGCAACCAAAAAAAGGTCATTGTTAAATTAGCTGTCTATCCATGTGATGCATCCAAGCATACCAAAGGAAACTTAAGAGGAAGAAAAAAAAGGTCAAGTTTGCCAAAATGCCTGTTTCAGAAAAATCAATCTTGAAGTCAGAATTCAGATTGGCCAGTCAAAGAGTCAGTCACACAAACAACCTAAAATCTAACATGGCTGCCTTGCTTGGTGGGACTAATGACAGCAGCAGTTACAACATTTTATTTTATGTTATTTAAAAATTCTAACATAAGAACAGGGACAAATCATTCACTCCATTTATGTAAACCAAAGAAAGCAGCAAAGGAAGAATATGTTTTTGTAGGTAACCAGTAAGTGAAAGCATTTTGTGCTTTGGCATCAGCATATTCATGCAGCTTGTCTTCATCAATTATTCAACTGTATCAGAAATTTGCTTCATATGACGATAACAGGAGCAACCAATGCATTAGACTGTTTTGTCCTCTTACAGAATGAAATGATGAAATGTCTGGCAGATATAATAATTTCATAGCATAAAACGGCTCGTACTGTTGACAATTTAATATTGTTTGACCTTGTTTATTGTATCCAGGAGGGGAGAAAATAGAATATTGTGTTTTTTATTCCTATGCAAAAAAGAAATATGTCAGAAAGCAGAGGGTGAGAGACAGTGCGTTGTGTCTGCTAAGGCAAAGAGAACAATGGCTGGGAAGGAAAAAAGAACGTACTGCAGCATCTGAAACAACAGGTGAAAGTCTGCAGCCATGTGGAAGCAGAAAAAACAGGATGTTTGTCAGTAAAGGGGATGAAATGATGTCTTCCTGTTTTAATGCATGTTCCTATACAAACACAGAGGTTTTATGGTGACGTATGAACAGTTTTATCTCCGCAATATTCAGAGAGATCTCTGAAATACATCTAAACACACATGTTCACATCATCTTATGCCCCTGAAACACTGCCGTATGTCTGCATTATGTTACTTCAGCCTTACATGTAAATCCTAGTAACAAGAACTGGAACGATAAATCCACCCAAAAAGAAAGTTATCCATTCTTTTTCTTTTCCTCACTTTTCAAATTGCTTCACAAAACTTGTAGGACACTCGTATTAGCTTCTCATTGCCAACCACAGACACACAGGGTCCCTCTGATCATAAATCCCTATCTAAATGTAGACCAATATCGACCAATCCATCCATTCACTTCAGTCTGAATTATCCATCAAATACATCATAAGTGCCTTCATCTCGACAGAAAACCGGTCGGTACTGTCAGATTACAGAACATTCCCTAAAGACCGTCATGACTGTTGCGCACTCCAGACACAGGAATATACCTGCAGATAAAAAGGGTCATTAAATGAGGCCTGTTGATCCTGATAGTTTATGCATAATACTCTTCTTTCATTAAATATTATTCTTTTTTTAAATTTTGTTGTTCCTGTGACAATGACAATAAAAACTTGTATCTTATCTTATCTTCCACAAATAATTAATGACTAATATTTTTAACAATGAGAACCTTTCCAAATATTCAAAAAGAAAACAGTGAAGGCATCTGCAAAACAAATTCTTCTGTTTTCAAAACAGAAGAATTAGTTTTTCGGGGACTAATTGGGTCTGGGCAATACTTTCCATAAAGATAAACTACAACATTTTATTCACTGCAGTTCAGTAATTATTTGTTATGGATAACTACTGAATTGCAGTGAATAATGACCCTTGAGCTACATTTGTCATTATCCATCTTTCCAATTCCAAATCCATTCCATGTTTCTGAAGGAGAAAAGAAAATCCCCACATCATAGTGCTGCCACCACCATGTTGAACCATAGTTTATGCATGTTGTTTGAGGATTTGTGAAATTGCAGTTTTTCAACACACATACCCAAAAATTTTAATGTGTTCTTATTTGACAAGAGCACTTTCCTCCACACATTTGTTGTGTGGCCTACATGGTTTGTACAGCCATTTTCTTTCAAGAAAGGCTTCTTTTTTTGACACTTTTCCATAAAAGTCAGATTTTACAACCAGCAGCTGTTCTGTTCACAGATCTCTGCAACTTGTCTGGAGTCACTATAGACCTCTTGGCTGCTTCTTTCTATAAAAAAAAAAAACAGTAAAAAAAACAGTTCACTGCGAGAAGTCTGTTAAGTCAGACAGAGGGTCATATTTTAGTGAATTTTCTAATAGTTGTTACTCTAATAGTTCTAATTGTGTATTTATTGATTTAATTATATCCAATTATAACCAGTGATGGGTTTTGCTTGAACAGATTTTGATAATCTAGCAAATTACAAAGACAGATAAAATGAGCTGATTTTCTAATGTCTGAGGGAAAATTTTAAAAGTTGAAATTAAGATGTTTTCATCCCCGGGAGTTTCATCTTAATTATGTATATACAGTGACTATTTAAAGAGCTGTTTGTGGTGCATAATTGCTCTATGAATTAATCTCTCTACAATGTCGTCTGCATACAAAGTAATAAATGAGCAACTGTGCGTGAGGCATTGTGTCTGCTCATCATCAGTACCTACAAAGGTTTTAAGCTCGGGACAAATGATCAGACAGGCGTCATTTTATTCTCAGTGCTGCTGAAGGCAAAATTCAGTTTGAGAAAGCTACTTTGTGAATGCAAAAGTCACAAAAGTTAGACCTCTGATGTGAAACATTACTCCTGTTTGGAGTTTCTGAGGGTCTTAGCAGCCTCTGATATTTTTGTGATCTTGAAAAACTTTGGGATGAGTCAAAGAAAATGTTTAACTGTGTTATTTAAAGGCAGCCAGCTCATTGGAGTCTGCCGAGTCATTGGACTGGCAGTAAATTTTCTAACTGTGATGCCCTTTTTCCACCTCAGACCTATGATGTACTTTAGAGTCTGAATAAGCTCCCTGTTTCACTGCCAGCTTTTCCTCAGAGACATAGATACATGATATGTGCATGCGTTCGTGTGTGTGTGTGTGTGTGTGTGTGTGTGTGTGTGCTGAAGAAGAGGTTGCTTTGGATAGGATTTTAAGGAAGTAGTTTCACAATTTCGCTCTGATTCAGCCAGAAAACATTTCATCTCTTACATTTCATAAGAGAAATCAAAGAAAAGCAGATCTCATTCAAATACATAAGAAACCTCTATAAATGATTTCCTGTATCTAGAAATTACAATTAAATGTAGCATTTAAAGTGGCATGTGTCTTTGTGAATTTTCTGTCTCACAGGTAGTTTTGAAATGAAAAAATGCTTAAGCACTATTTAGGCAGCCTATTCACGTCTTAGCTAAAGTTTGCACAGGAACAGGCCTGTTGGTAAAGTATTAGCAGGAGGATTTTTTTTACGCTCTTCTGTACATAAACCAAGGTAGCTTTTCAGAGTGCAATGATTTAACAAATTAGAACATCTAGAATTATTAAAAACAAGAATTTGGTGAACAAGTTTGGATTTATTGCAACATTCCTATAATCCACACAGGGTCCACACAAGTAAGCATTTTGAATACATCATTAAATTCCTTTCATCATTGTGATTCAATATTTGTCCATCCGTTTTTCTTTTGAAATGGTGGAATGTTTTTCAATCGGACCTGCTCAAGGTTTCATATGCGTTCCTTCTCCAACACGCCTGGATCAAATGGCTCATCAGCATCTTTCAGCCCAGCAGAGGCTGAGTAATGAACCATTCATTTGATTCAGGTGTTCAATCAGAGATGCTGAGATCCAAATTTCAGCCTTCTCAACTAAACATTCACCACAAACCAAAAGTTTGCCTATAATGTTAACAAATAAACCGGGAATCCCCAAAGCTCAAGCTGATCAATGTGTCGATGTTAATAATGTTTCGTAAGAAACTATGCTTCACACTGTTAAACAGCAACAGCCATCTTTGACTGCTGGCATTTTATAAACCAAACAATTGTTTGTAGTCATCAGATGACACCACTATCTGCTATCTGATACCGATAATTATAGCCTTCTATTAATCATCAATAGGCACTAATGCAATGTGTTCATTTGATTGTCTGTTTGTTATCTACATGCTATTTAACAATGCCATTAGTGAGGGTTGGTAAATAGCCCATGCATTATTTGTAGACACAGACACAGAGTAGTGATGTGTGGAGCTGTTTGTGCAGAATGTTTCAGCAGTTTAACCTGAATTTTTTGTGTGCATGTTATTAGTTTTGAAACTACTTTTGGAATAAAAATGGAACATTTTATGATACCAAAGCACTTCTATATTTCTTTCTTGACTCTTGCAGAAGAGTCAAGAAAGAGATAAAAATGAAAGGAGCCATGTTTTGTCATGTAAAGATGTTTTTTTCGACTTAGTTTTTTTAGAAAGGTAAGACATTTCTTTTGCACGTAGGTTTTATTTCTAAATGCCTCTGTTTCACAACCTGGAAGATCTCTCTCTTATTTTTGAGTGAATTCAAATTTTAATTTATAAATAAAATAGAAAACAGTATTTCATTATTGCTATTATGAAAGCATGTTTTTGGAAACTTCGAATAGACTAACTGACATTTGAGTTGATTGGATGCACAGCTGTGGATGTATTTTAAGGAAACACGTGCTTTCTTGTTTGACACAAGAAAAAACCCAAAACAAATCTGTTTGTCTTGTTGCGTTCTTGGGTAAGACACTTCACACACCCGGTGGCACTGGTGCATGGCAGGCTGGTGTCTGTCAGACAGCCCCAAGGCAGCAGCTGTGGCTATAATATAGTAGCTTATCGCATTGTGTGCATGGTTGGCTGAATGACTTCATATAGTGTAAAGTACTTTGGAGTTCACTGGACTACATTAAGTGGAATATAAATACATTGACCATGTTCAATGAGAAAGTCAAAAGAATTCAGGAAAATTGTGAGCAAGAGTGGAGTCTGCTTCTGTGACCCAGAGATAAAAATGTTTTGGTCAGAAATGTTTAAATTGACCCCAAAACAAAACTGAAAAACGTTGTCTCCTGCTGAAGCTGGAGACGGCGCCATTATCCACTATGAAATGTGTCTTGTACTTACATGAGCAAAAAGGCCACTCAACAAGGCAAGGTGGAAACCACTAATGAATAAATCTCTAACATATTCTTTCTCTTACTATTGTGTCATTTAGAACAGATAAATAATTTTGGTAATTTGATTTTTCTCTGCATTTAAGGCCAATGATCAATGAACAAAGGTGAGAGTTTTACTAATATCAGTGTTTGGACACCAGTCACAACATCTCTGATCTATTAGTCGAGATGAGACATAAATTAAATTTTTTTTGTTTCTTAACAAACATAATGGATCAGATGGAGACTTACTCTCCGGTAAAAACATTTTTTTGCACAGCTTAAAGGTTGCGACTAAAAATAACATCAGTGTCTGGAAACAAACAATAAATCGGTCTGGGATTAATTTCAATAAAAGCTCTGAAAGCATTTCAGCTCTCACTTTCGGTGCCAGACTCCCAGACAGCTCCAAATCACGTTCAACTCGCTTCATAATGCCATGATTTACGTCCAAGTCCATTTACAGAGCAGAAGTGGCTCTAGTTCATGAAGGAGCTTGGCAGCTTTATGGAGAGACTGGCAGGATGCAGCGAGATGAGTTTGCTGCTACCTGCCCAGCTGCTTCTTTCCAACCATCCAAGCAGCACCTGATCGGTCCTGAAGGGCACTGGTTACAAGCGAAGAGGATGGATGTAACACTCATCTGCTAAATTAAAACATCAACAAGGGTAAGATGAGAGAAACAAGGGAAACAGGTCTTTCTTTGGAGGATAACATTGCCTGTACCAAGGCATTGTGGTAAAACAGAAAAAAAAGGCAGGTTGACCATCTGTGGACATCAATGTACAATTCTTGCCACAGATTTCTAATTCCTTTTAAGTCTGGATATTTGACTAGGCCGTTTTAAAACACCACTATATCTCAATCTGAACCACTGCATTGGAATTTCAGCTGTATGTTTAGGGTCATTGTCATCCTGAAAGTTCATGTCTTTTGCAGTTTCTATCAAGTTTTCTTAATTCCATCTTACTTAAATCCACTGGGAACTTAAGTCTCCACTAACTCTCTTAAGCACATCACTCACTCACCTGTGTCAAATGAAACAGTCCAGCAAAAGTTATAGAGTTTTAAGAGTCAGATATATTATGTTTACTTATTTCTGAAGAAAAAAGGTCTGAATCAGGCTTTGCTTGGGTTTTGTCAAAGCCACTGTTTGGCCTATAATCTTACGGAAAGAGGAAGAAAAAAAAAACTGAAAAACTTAGGAGATTGCAGGCTGCTGTGCAACAGACGGACTCATGGAGTTGTCAAGGCACCATTATATGCTGTCACTGTGTGGCTTGAAAAGAAATGAGCAAAGGTTTCGGTTGAAAACTGGTACGTAATGTAGATCTTTGTGTACTGACTTTGATTCTGATCTCTGCCTGCTGTCTCTTAGGCTTTCTCCAACTTCATCTGCTCTCGGTCACATGTACCGTGTTTATTTTAAGCCTAAAACAGTAGCCTGTGGTGAGGACTTTCTGTAGCAAGATGTGGTCAAAAGGCTGCTCCTGAAATCACTGGAAACTAAAGAATGCTTGTGCACATGCAGGCTCATACCGCATCATCTTTCAGTTTGTTGTTTGTTTTAGTTTGGCATTTAATAATCTTCTGATTTGCTCAGTTAGGTGTTGTCACACTTTGTGATTATTGGTCACATAGATTTGTTTTTTTGTTTTTTTTATCCTGCTGTTGAAAGCAGGGTTAGAGTCCTAGTCTCTGTTTGTACTTCTAAAGTTAAAATGTATTACATCTGTTATTATTATGTTCTATAAAGTTTATGATACATTAAGATTAAGCCTGATTATTGAACAATTATTTTGTGCTAGTTCTGTTTCTGCCTTTGCAGATTTTCATAATGTTATACGTCTAGTTTGTCTCCCGTTAACAATGAAAAAAAAAAAAAAACAAGAACACAACTGTATGTAAATTAATGTACTGAGAGAGAGAAGCCTGGTTGGCTTTTTTTTTTAAATCAGATTTGTCCTGATTAACGTTCTGTTTTAATATGAGCTTTTTCCACAATAATCAATTGTGCCATTTCACGCTAATGTGGCCTGTGCTGAACCAAGAGGAAAAGCTTTTATAGTGTTGATGGTAAATTACAAGCTCCTGGTTATGAACAACTCCACTTGTTTGTGCACTAATTTGTAAAGCAGCAGTCTGCTTTGGTCTTCATTTGAAATGAGCAGGTAGCAGCTGTGGCTGTAAATCAGGAGCTCACCCACACAACAGGTAACTCCCATTAGTATTAGTGCTCATTTGCAATAAGGTTGCATTTTGTCCGACAATTCTTAAAAATTTTCCTATTTACTGAATCCATCCATCCATCCATTTTCTGTACACCCTTGTCCCTATTGGGGTCTGCAGGGGTGCTGGTGCCAGTTTCCAGTGAACATTCTGGGCGAGAGGCAGGGTTCACCCTGGACAGGTCGCCAGTCTGTCGCAGCCTATTTAATGCAACCCATGTAAAATTTTGAGAAAAAAAAAATACTCCTGTACAAAATAAGAAATTTGAAAACTGAAATTCCTCTCACTGCTGTTTGTGGTTTAACTCCGCCTCCTTGTTCACCAGATCCTGCTTGAGGTTGGCCAGCATTTCCACGGAGACGTCCACCTGCCGAGAGAGCTCAGAGGCCTTGTCCTCCAGGTCCTGCTTCTCCTGGCTCAGCCGCTCGCTCTCCTTCTTGGCCCTCTCCAGCTCAGAGCTCTTCCTCTCCAGCTCCGCCTGGAGACGGCCTACACGGGCCGCTATTTTCTGCTCCACCTACAGAACAAGAAGGCTGACAGTTTCAGCTGCTTCATGTCCTTTTGAAATTTGCATAATGAAAAAACAAAAACCTCAGCATGATATGCAAACAAACTAACGCAAAGCAAGAATTAAGGACTTCTGCCAGGAAGCATCTCACAAATATGGAATTGATTAACATTTTGGAGGTGTAATCAATTTAATGTAGTCATGCAATTTGCTGTTGAAAGAAGACCATACATAGTTTTATTTCCTCAAGCAATTTTGTGGAAGATTGTGTCCTGATCCAATGAGATCCAAGCTTAACTGTATTGGACTACAGTCATGTTTAAGACATGGTGGTGGCTGCATCATGCTATATGGATGTTTTATTCAGCAAAGGAAGAAATGGTGGTTGGAGTTGATTTAAAAAACTGGACAGAGCTTAACAGAGGACAATCCAGAGAGAAAACATTCTAATGGCTGCAAAACACTTGAGACTGGGGCAGAAGTTCACCTACTGAAGAGGCCACCAGAATATTTTTTTAGATCAAAGTACGGTCATGTGTTAGAATGGCCCAGTCACACTCCAGATGTAAATCCAAATAAGAATCTGTGGCAACCATCCAAACTGACAGCGGTTGAAATATTTTGGAAAGAATGGGCAAAGATTTCAATCTCTAGATGTGCAAAGGTGAGAAAGTAAACACCAAAAGAGCAGCTATAATCACAGCACATGTTCTGCAAAACAGGGATGTGAAATATACAACTTTCTAGACTTCCATTTGTAAAGTATTTTAAAAACCATTTTCTTTTCAACTTACAATTCTGTATCAAGATCCATTAAAAAATGTTACTTTTTGGTTAATGACAAATTACAGAAATATTGAAGCTGAAGGCTTCTTTCTTATGCAAAAAAAAAACTTAACACAATCAAAAGTAATAAATAAATAGGCGTACACTAATGTGTGCTCACATCGAAAATCTACTTTCCCATACGCTAAGAAATATGCATTTCTGGTGGTTGGGTAAACTCTTCAAATTTCCTGCATATTCACTTTGTTTATGAGAGTTTCTGATTAAAGCTGTAGAGACGCTATGCCTCTAACATGTAACGTATTAGCTGTTCTCAGATTGTTACCTTTAGAAGGACTGGATCACATTCAGATTGTGGCTCTAATGAGCTCCTTAGTTTCCTGTCTGCTGCTGAGCTCAAGGTTCTTTAAAAGCAGAAGAGTGTCAGGAGAAGTGTTGTTGACGGTTTCATGTCCAGCCTAAGGAGGGAGGGGATAAGTATTTCCCTTGATTGCTTCTGCACTTTGCAATTATCTTCTCCAGAAATCAGGCTTGCACTTTGAGCAAGTGCATGGCCACCAGAGTCAGCCTGTTAATACACCTCCTGCTGATAAAGTTTATTCTGATAACAGCGGCAATCCCACTTACCTCCTCCGACAACTTCTCCAGCCTCTCGTCCAGCTCCAGCCGCTCAAACGCCCGCGCCTTCAGCCTCGCCAGGCCCTCCTCATAAGCCGCCTCTACGGCACTAGCAGCCACATTCGCAGCCACAGCCACAGCAGTGCTGGGGTTTCCATGACTGCCCGGATCCGTGGATGTCATCGCTTTCTTCATAAAGATCTCCCCCAGGGGGAACTCCACATTAGGAATGTACCTGGCCTCGGAGTTGGAGTTAGCTGGGGTCAAGCTGAGGTCGTCGGCACAGGGAAGCTCCCGGCAGGGAAAGTGGCGCTCCTTCAGAGCCGAAGGCCGGAGCGCTTCGAAGGGGTCTTTGTTGTTGGCGGGCGTGAGGAGAGCTCCCTCGGCCACTAGGGGCAGGAGAGCGGCGGCGTCACACACACTGTTGGACTTGGAGAGGACATAAAGGGTCTCGTATGTGTGGTTGTACTCCAGGTGGGCTCGAAGGGACGAAAGGCTTCGGAAGCGCTTGTGCTCCCCGCAGCGAGGACAGCGGTATGGCAGGTCCAGAGAGGCCATTCCGTGCAGTAACTGCTGGAGGGGAGGGAGGCGCTCATGAGGCACGATGGCAGCGCCAGTATGAGGGCACAGAGGTCAGACCCCTCATGGTGAGAACAGGGCAGGCTGGGTTAGTCAGCATGAGGAGGAAAAGGTCCCACCGTAAAATGGAAGGTCAGTCACATGACTGCGCAGGGAGGGAACATTCAGTCTCTGTACGTTAGAGGTCCTGAGTACCTGAATGGAGGCAAAAAAAAAAACAAAAAACACACAAGTCACAGTTAGGGTTCAGGTATGAGGCATTCACTGGCTGAAAGAGATTGGGTTTTTGAGTTTCCAACCAACAAATCAAGTGGGAAATTGTCAATTTAGTCTTAATCTTATAAAATATATTGCTTGGTGCATTTTAAGTTAAAATACTATCTTGCAACTAATATCCTTTGATTGGTGTTGATGTCTTGTCACTTAATATTATGTTGTTATTGTTAAAAAAAATCATTTCTATTTTTGTAAGTAAACAAAGAGAATTTACTTTTCTTTTTACCAGTGCTATCTCTTATGCTGCTACTGTTTCACTGTTTAAACTCAGTTTTAGGTATTTGAATGCTATTATTCACAACACAAACTCAAGAAATATGCTTGCAAACAATAACAAAAGAGAAAATAAATGACAATTCTTAAAACAACTGCAACATCCAGAGGTCATTTAGTCACAGTTTTATATCATTTCATGTCATTGTTGTCGATAACAGTCCAGACATTTAATAGAGCAGAACATTAGAGGTTTAGTTCGAGTTAAACATCACGCTCCTGAACTTTGTCCTGCTATGTAGAGGAAAACTCTAAGAGTTCCAGAAAATGAAAATGGCTCCATTAAGGAGAGTGCTCATTGGTGCCAACATATTTTTTCTGGGTTGAGTCTCTGAGGTCAAACAAGATAATATTAAGACCAAAAACCTAAACGTGTAAATTATCTGACTTGCAACCATCTGCTCTTCTCTCAGTCGCAAACTCTATGCTGTATTTAAATTCCCATATTGAAAAATGAAAACAGGCACAAATAACACGACCAACTCTCTAAAGTATACCGTCTTGTTCTCAAATAACACACACTTCTTCATTCACAAAACTGCACTTGACATTTTTTTCCTCTTTCTCATTTTTTCTACTTTAAGTTAGGATTATTTGAAAACCTGTCAGAACATTAAATCTATCTGGTAATGTTTGTTTTTCTTTGTTGTAACAATGTTTCTTGACACTAAATATCGGAAAGGCCTGTTTATTTTCCTGCACATGGCGCCACATTTGCCAGGAAAATGCATTTCTGGGTCAAGCAGCAGAGCTGAGGTTTGGGGTTACACCCATGAAAAAAAAAAAAAATCCTCTTTGCCAAACAGCTTCTGGTCGAGGCAGTGTGATAGTCCAGCCCAAGACATAAGCAACCTAAGCTGCTGCAAAGAGCCAACCAAACATCAATCTTTGTTATTTTAATATAAAATGAGAGAGCTGTCAAATTTATTTGACTGTTTCAGCATATATACATGCAGATTTTAAAATTAAAAAGTCAAATTTAAAGAAGTTTGCAAACATTCTTTCTGAAAGTGCTCACTGGTTATAAAGTGGGGCTCCGTGACATCATAGTATCAACCTCAATAAAGTTGAAAGGGTTTTTTTTCTACAGGTTAAAACAAAGCAAAGCGTAGCGATAGCAGCCTTACTTAGTAGTGATGAAGAAAATGCTGGCTAATCCATATATCTTAGAGCTGTCACATTACAAAGATTGTCTTTAAAATAAACTAAAGAACACAAAAATATTCTCATCTCGAACTACCCCCAGTTTCCAGTACATGAACCGTTTCGTTTAAAAATATTTGACCTCATATCCGTCTGTGAACTGCTGCCCAAATGGTGCAGCATGCACTGTTTTTATTTTAAGATTGGCGACTTTACATCTGGATAGAAATTACAATCTAAGACTGAAGCCTGAAGCAGTGGAGATCTGTCTGAACTCTTCTACATCCTACAGCAGCTGTGAATGAGGAAAACAGTCGCCATTAGACGTTTAATGGCAAGTCACAGATGCAGACCATTCATAGACTGGAAATCCCCCGAAATCACAGAGACTGCTATTAGACGTCTGGTAAGGTTGAATTGGGGAGAGAGCTGGCAAGCTGTGCCCGCTTATTAAACAGGCAGAACGTCACAAACCTATTCACCAAACTGATGTCAGCAGGCAAAGCCATTACAGAGTTGGATTGTTCACTGTATTCCTTTCTTTTAAGACAAATGATGCAGAAGAGGCTTTTGCATTTTCCCTCACTGTTCCAATTATTCTTGCACAGATACATGAAACACAACGAAGTTTTACTATCGTAAAACTGATGTAAAACTAGGAAATGTTTAACCCTCTATGGCAGACTCCAAATGAGTTTAACTCAATTGGAGTCAAACTGTTGTATACTGGCTTTAAAACAAACTGAAATATTTTCTCTCCTTTAACTAAAGTAAAGGGAATAAAACTGATCCATGCTCATTTTCTGCACTGATCACAGGCCGATTTGCAACTGCGTCAAAGTGACAGTTGTACTGCAGCACTAATCTGAGGTGCCAACAAGCACTAAGTGAAACAAACAATCTCCTCAAAGCAGCCACCTGGTGGTAAGGCAAGACTTCCCTCTGTGTGCCTCAGTATGCAGAATTAGGAAGCGCCGTATGTGTATTTTGTTCAGCTATGTTTGTCTAATATTTGGACAAAACACTAATGCCAAACAATAGTCCCAACTTATAAGACTCCCCATTAACAATGTCCACAGGCTATTTTCCTTTAAGGGGGTTTTCTGTCGATATTTATTGAAAAGTTATTGTTCGAAGCTTCCTGCAGAGATGTGATCTCGTCTTCCTCTGTCATATCTTCACGTTTGAAAGCTGTCTAATGGTCAAACCGAACAAAGAAATGTAGCAAGAAATAGAGAGACTTGCAGGGGAGAACCTGTTCCCTGCAGCAAGGTCACAAGTGACACAGATAATATTAAAGGTTCAGTAAATGTCTCTTTATCAGCGAGTGCATACATGAGGGCTGTGACCTGGAAAACTATCGACACCCAATCCATTTATCACACCCAGGAAATGTTTCAGGACATAAAAGAAGGGATCAAGACTGGACAGCACAAACAGATGGAAGAAAACTACAGTCTTGAAAAAGCAGAAGTAAACCTTTGTCAGTTCTAGGATTTTACATCAGGCCATGATAAAAAAAAAAAGGCTGCATGGTAGTGGGGTTGGTAACATTGTTCCTTCCAGGATTCTCATCCTGATCAAGGCTTGCTTCAAATGTCCAAATATATGTGTTTAAGACTGGTAACTTTGATACATGCTCTTTAATATAAGGATGTGTCTGTATGCGTGTATGTGTGTTCGTTCAATGTGTCTATTAACCTATGATGGACTGGAAACTAGTTCATCACAGGGCATTAGCTTGATGGCTCATGACCGCTGAAGATAGCCACCAAGACCTCCCTCATCTAGCAAGGTTCTTCTTTTTACCACCTTAAAAGAATCGCTGAATATTCCACTGTGTTCTTATTTGTTAAAGAAAGATGGATCTAAAATGGCTAGAGCTGTATAGAGCAAAGTACTCTCATGATATTATAACTTCTAAAGACCTTCTAAAGGAAGAACTTGAAGTTCTTGTTTGTTTACTTGGACCAAATGCAAATTATTTCTCCCGAATTGTTGACCTTCCTAAAGAATAAAAACTTCCCCCATGAACAAACCTCGCTGCATTTGCTTTCACTAAACACTAATCAGAAATTTTCATATTCAAACATGGAGCAGTTGAAAAATCTCCATGTCTTACAGGAGTGCCTTTTTTCTCGATCTCTAGTGGTACAAGTCAATGCAAAGATCATAAAATGAAGAAGAGAGAAAACATCCAGAAGATTCCAAATAGCTTGTTAGCGCTCCATGTTGTCACTGTCATTGATTTGTCCCAACAGTACTTTCATACATCTCATCTGTGTCCAGTACATTTGCAGTGTTTCTTTACTGTTGAGTCTGACAGGTTCTTTCTTCTTTACAATTATCTGTATTGTGAAGCCCATATTATTCATCTCCCTCCATCTACCTTTTTTCTAAAGGCCTAAAGCTTTGGTTTCTAATAAACTAGTAAAAGAAAACAATGCCTCTCTGTTTCACACAGTCTCTGTTCAGTATTCTTTCTCTCTCTCCTTCTCTCTCTGCAGCTCCATCATGCAGTCCGGTTAAGATTTATTTCTGCAAGCCAGCGGTCTCTGACACAGATTTGTTTTGTTTGGGGTGTGAGAAGGACAGTGACTCAAGGTGCATCACAGCTCGCATGCCAGGCCTTCACCCAGACATGCTGCAGCTCTCAACTGGCACATTGCAGTGCAACATCGGAGGCGGCCGGCGTTTATGAGAGGTGCGACGCGACCATTGTCCCACAAATTGAGCCATTTTCTCAACTGGCATCTCTAGTTTCAAAATGAATCCCTTCACAGCCCAAAAATTTATTTTTATAGTTGATTCCAAGTAAACATAACAATTGGTAAAGATGATACAAGAGCTGTTTTCTTCTAGATGTTCTCACAATAAACTTCATCCAATAAAAGCTGAAAAGTATCCCCCAGAGCAGTATTACAATGTCCGTATTATTAAGGTCAGTTAATAATGTGTGCCTAAATGTAATCTGAATTATTTGCACATTTCCTCCAACTGACACTCACTGAACAGTGAATTTCCCCTGACATATCCTGTTGTTTTCTTTTATGGGCGATATTAACTTGCACCACAGAAAAAAACAAAAATGCCAATTCTGTGAGGTTGATAGAAAAAAATCATAAACATCTGTCAAATTAGCATAGCTGAATTCATCGTCTTTGGGCTGCTGAAAATTTCTGTCTCGTGTCATTAATTGACTCTCACATGTTACATTGTCATTGAATTTAGCCTGTTTGTTCATTAGCTAGTCATTTAGTGTTAGCTCTTAACACTGATTTATTGACTAAAGTTGACATCTGTATCATTTTATCAACTTAATGCTTTTAAATCTTGACATGACAGTAATTCTTGTCTTTGGACCGAAAAGACTAAAAAAATATACTGCTTAGTCAATCACTTAATCCAGATGGTACAAATAAGCCATTGGTAATAAAGTAAAGAACCTCAATGTTATTTTTGGTTTTGCCATTCAAGTCCCATCTGAAACAGGTTTCTAGAACATCCTTTTGCCTCCATAATATTGCCAAAGTGACAAGTATTTTCTTCAGGAGTAACAGCAAAAAACTAGTCGATGCATTTTTTGGATGCTGTGATATTGTAATTCTTTACTCTCAGGAAGTGCACAAAATGCAGTTGGACGCCTGTAGCTGATCCGAAATGCTGCAGCAAGAGTTCTGCTGACAATAAAAAAAAGGCAGATCATATTGCTCCTATTTTAGCTTCCTTTCATTTGCTCATTGTTAAATCCAGAATGCAATTCCAGACTCTTCCTCTTACATATAATAACCACGCTCCATCACACATCAAAGATCCGATTATTCCACATGTTCCCAACAGAAGCACTTCACTCTCAGACTGCAGGCTTACCGGTGGTTCCTGAAATCTCTCAAAAGTCATTTAGGAGGCACATATTTTAGTTATCAGGCTTCTCTACTGTGGTACCAGCTCCAAACTTTTCATTTGAGGCAGACAGCATGTCTACTTTAAAGACCAGGCTTAAAACTTTCCTCTTAGAGCAGCTGAGCTTGTCCTGAGCTGCCTGTGTACACTGCAAAAACACAAAATCTGACTAAGTTTGTTTGGTCTCATTTCCAGTGCAAATATCTTAGTAAACTTGAAATAAGACAAAACTATTGTAGAAGCAACGTTTTAGCAAGATACAGGGAATTGTTTTAAGTGTTTTAAGTTAATAATTAAATAAATAATTTACCCCTTTCAGATATTTGTAAAGAATTTTGAAAATCAGGTATTATTTTCCTTCTGTTTTACAAATGTGGATTACTTGCTTTGGTCTATTTTATAGAAAAGATCAAAGATCTTTATGCACATGCTTGACTTTGAACTAAAGCATTGGCAGTTTTTGCCTGAATGGTACCTTGGGCAAGGTACTGCATGCTTCTGCTGCCACACAACTAATCAAAACATTAGAAAAACAAATTTGTAAATAAATGAACGTAATCGGATGCCACCACTGAACTGAAGCGTGACTTGTAGGTTTGCTTGCGTTTTCTGCTGGAATACTGCAACTTTTGTTGAAGGAGATTTAGACGGAGAGCTTTAAAGCCCACTGTTAGTCATATGATGGTTCCCAAAACTCCAGCAGCTTCTTCATTGTAGCCTAAGAGCCAATAGCTTTCTGGGACAGTGTGAAGAGTCCCAAGGGAGTGTTATTGTTTGAATGTTAAGTCGTTTTTTATTCTTATTTGTATCCATGTCGATGATCTTGGCTTTACAGTGGCAGCAAAATGACCTGAAAACACTGTGTACAAAGTGCACTGTAAAACTGGCATGTGAAACTTGCACAAATTGTACAGAGGATGCTCATTATCCTAAATACAGTCACGTCCCGCCGTGCAGACCGGCCACGGTTCCCTCTGAACGCATCATCGGCAGCTTAAAAGGGCTCCCAGTAAACACCGCCGCTTCCAGCGGTAACAAAAACCATCGATCCTCATATCTGCACTGCACACAGATCAATCACAAGCGGCGGATCATGTGGGTGTGGACGAGTGGCATCACCAAACTGAAAAGCCGCCGTCATGTCAGAACGCACAAGCAGGCCGGGAGGCAGGTTCATTCACACCCGCGCTGAACGCGGCCGGCTGCGAGAAGGCGGAGGGGGGGGGAAAAAGAAGGGCGACAACCTGGCCGTGTAGCCGAGTCTCTTCCCCCCCGGTCCTGGCAGCGGCTCCGGGATTCATCGCTGGACAGGACCGCGCAAATCAGACCGCTGGGCAGGCGCACCGGCGGCGCCAATGCAGCGAGGCTTCCAGAATCTGCAGCGGTGTGAGCGATGAAGGGAGGACGCGAGGGTTTGTTTTTTTTTTTTTTAAGAAGAAGAAGAAGAAAAAAGAAAGAAACGTGCATCTCACTCACCTCACAATCTTCTCCCCATTTTTTTTTTCTTCTCCAATCAACGAGCCGCTGGAGCCGCCAGTGACGTCACGAAGCCCCTCTCTGCAGCAGAGAGCGTTGAGGCCTGCAGAGGAGGACCAGACCCGAGGTAAGGCAGGCCGATATGACACTTAATCTGACGCCACGCTCCATTCACGCAGCAAACTACAGCACATCGCGTTGCCCGATGTAAAAAGTTTCTTGCTGCTTTTGTTAATTTGACACACCCGAAAATGAGATGATTCATGTTCATTGCTCAGAACCTAATTCTGAACTAAGTTTACTGTCTACATGCAATTATCTTTTTTTTATTATTCGGAATTATTATTCATTCCAAAAATGGACATATCTTTGGTTGTGAAGTTGATCCCAAGCACAAACAGGAGAATGGCAGTCATTTTTTTTTTCTTGTTCTGATTAATCGACAAAAGGAACTTAAAAGGGAGACAGAGGCAAGAAAGCACCAGGAGAACTCTGGACAAGTTCAGATTGAATCATAGTGCCAGGCAAGCTAACATGAGGACAGGCGATTAGGTGAGGCAGCAGATGGACATAAGAAGGATCTGACAAAGAGGTAAACAATGTGATGGTATTTTAGTCGTGTTAAACTTTTGTGAAGTAGAATGGCTTAGCGCAGATCTCTAATGTGGAACCAGTTTTGCCTTTATCAAAAGGCGGACACCTTTTAATAAAGCTCAGAACCTTGTCTATTTCCTAGACAAAGCAAATGAAGGAGTTATTGCCTGGTCTAATAACTCCTTTTATATTATCAGACCAGGGCTCTCCAATATGACCTTAAGATCTATTCTCCAGCAAATTTTAGGTGCAGTCCTGCTCTAACACACCAGAATCAAACGAATTGATCCTTTTTCACCCTTGATGGCCTGCTAAAAAAGCTAATTTAATCATTTGATTTGGCTCACCTACTGCCTGCATCAGACTCCTTGGCAGAAATTACCAAAACAGATGCAGTTTAGGTGTTCAGCACTCAAGCCTTCAGTTTGTATGGACGCCAAGTCAACCTCCCACAGAAAAAATGGTTTCGTTAATTTGGTCAAATGTTGGCCACTTTGCTCTTTCTTAGAATTTTGTTGTAAATATCTCAAGTTTCTGCTGGTATGAGTTGATATGTGTAATTCATATGACACATATCAATATCTTTAGAATATCTTGAGGTAAAAACTACAAAACACAGGTATGAGACAACTTTATGTCCTTTGTTTCCTAAAGACTGATACTAGAGATATCTGAAATGTTAACCGTGAGTGTACTAAGAAATGTATAATAAATCAGATTGCCCTAGACACAAGAGGGAGGAGAGACAGAGTAAGGTGGAAGAGTCCTTAAAAGCAGCCCCCTTTCCTTCATCAGGAGGAGGATATTGCATCTGAGTGTTTTTTTTATTTTTCAAGTTGTGAGTTTGAAGGTAGATCGATTACATCTGCCCACTAAAGACAGAGGGAGCAGACTGAATTTCTTCCTGCGCTACATTACAAGCAGGTCAATTTGGTCTTGTCTGAGATCATTCAAAGTAGACCCCAAATGACTGTCAAGACAGAAAAATGACCACAACTCAATGATTATTGTCACAAAGAGACACAAAAAAACAGACTCAAAAGACAACATAGGTGTAAAACATACATTAACCAAATTAATTCAGCTATTAACTGGCATGAAACATATGAAGGTCTGTGTATTGTTTTGAATTTCACTGAGAGTTCAACTATTAATGTGTTAACAAAATTACGAACGAAATTGCTAATTTTGTTCGTAGCAATTATCCATGTCGTTTGAAACTGTCATTTTTTAGCTGTTATGTTTTCTTGGAAACTTTAATTTACTTGTTTGTAGGTCATACTAGCAATTTTATTTGTGAATGCTATTTAAAATGTTTGTATTTAACAGTACTACAACATGACAACACATCAAAAAGTATGTGCTCAAAGAAAACAAAAATAAAAACTTGACACCAGCAGAAACCTTTTGAATATTGAATGCATATTGGGATAAAGCGTGGGAAATTGTCCTTTACTGCATCAAAGTTCAGTTGTTTTTCATGTGATCTTACTGTTTCCTTTTTTTCAATATATAATAATCTAAACATTTCAGGATAGAAGTAAAATCTTCTATATATGTTCTATAGAAAAATGGGCTCGCAATTTGAAGGTGACCCTTTTTTAGACAATTAACTTGATTTAAGAGGAAAGAGGTTACGTGCCTACATTATCCTAAGTACGTGCTTAACTGCCATCAATTAGAGCCAATTTAAGCATTTGAAATGCTGAGGTGAGTAAATTTTTCTGAGTTTTACAAGATCATTTGCATAGTTTTGCATGTCTTTAGATTTTTCACATGATAATTGATTATGGTAGGGTGATTGATGCACAGTAGTGTAGTTTGAAGCGCTGTTGCTTTGCAGCAAAGGCCCTGGGTTCAAATACTAACCTTGGATCTTTCTGCCCAGGGTCTTTCTGCATGTAGTTTGTATGTTCTCCCTGTGCATGCGTCGGCTCTCTCCAGGTTCTCCACTTTCCTCTGGGGCTCGCATGGACAAAAAGGTACAGACAACGGATGCATTATTGCAACATTTGAGTACCACTTGCCTAAATACTGTATCAAATTTGTATATATTTTTGTCATCTGTTTATATGCCCTCTCAAAGTTATGATGCTCATACCAGAGAATTTCATCAAATTTCCAAGAAACTCTTCCTAACTTACCAGTGATCTCTCTGCTGACCTATCAGCTGCTTGAGCAATTTTTACGAAAGCCAGTGGTTGATTACGACACTCAAATGTGGGACAAATATGCAACAGTGAAATGGCAGTATTAATTTACCTTTTTTCCCCTTCTGATATTAAAATAAGGGTTCAGATACAGGCTGATACAGAAACTGGTTCCTGCATGTTTTAGAAACATCCCAGGATAAAAGATATGATCAACAGTGACAAAAAAAAAAGCTCCATACTGCTTCGCTTCTTGGGTTTTAGTTAAAAGCTACAGGCTGGATATGAAGCATATTCCATATAAGGTATGCCAATTAAAAAAGAAGTCAGCGTTAGTAAATATGGATGAACAAGTTAGGGAGAAGGACATTTATTATCCCCAGTAATTATGTGTAGGTGCTTAAGCACCACTTCCTGGTCAAAGAGAAGTAGTACAACTTCCATAAAAAAAAAACCTACCAGTTAAATTGCAGGGTAGACCCCAATGCAATATAATCAAAGCTAGATTTTAAGATTTAAGTGTCATTAAGGAGTATGTAGATATATTTTAGTCACATATCACATTTTAAAAAATGATTCAAAATGACACAAAATGTTCGCAAACATTTTGTGAACATTTTAGGTAACTATGCAGTTTATTTTCAATTGCAGTTCAGCAATAATTTCAAAAATAAAATAAACTAAGTCTCACAAAAAAAAAAGAAAGTTCTTTACAAATTATTTAAAGTTTACTCAGAGTAGGGTGGGGTTCTGCTTGTGGAACATTTATTTTTCCGTGCAAGATTTGATCAAAAGTGTTTTTCTAGTAAATAATTCTGTAGCATCAAAGTAACGTTAAAGTGAAAAAAATATATAAATATGTGTATCAGTCTAAATATAGTTGTGAAAACATATCCAAGACAAAAAGAAAAGTATATCAAGAAAAATCTTTCTGGATGATGTCACTGATATGTTTGGTATCATTCCATTGTGAAAATTCACATATATCTATTGTCATTTGGGAAATATTCACTTTTTCCATTTTAAGTTACAACCTTATTCCATGTTGTAGTAAATTAATTTCCATCTTCAAAATCTATAAATACCCCATTTTAACAATATGGAAAAGAAAAAAAAACTTTTGAGATTTTTGCAAATGTAAAATCATAAGGCCAAGAAATAACATTTACATAAGTATTTGTAACCGTTGCTTAATACTTTGTTGATGAAGCTCAAAATGTAACAGTTTCTAAGGATCATCCTTGAGATGTTTCTATAGTTCTGACCAATCAACTGATAATTTCAGTTCATTGGACTTGATTTGGAAAGGCACACTCCTATTAATATAAGGTCAAACAGTGGACAGTTAAGGTCAGAGGTCAAACATCATGCATGAAATCAAAGAAATTACCTGGGGACCTCTGAGACAGGACTGTCTTTTGGCCCAAATCTGGGAAAGGAACAAGAAATGTTTTTTTTCTGCTATAAATATCCCAATGAGGTCAGTGGCCTCTGTTAAATGGAAGAAGCTTGGAACCAGCAGGACATCATCATATCTGGGTATTTATGTACAATTTTGACAAAAGAAATTAATACAATTTGCAGTAAAGCTAGATGTAGCGTAACAAAATGTGGAAAAAGTAAAATGCTGTGAGTACTTTCAGGATTCATTGTATGTATATATATATATATATATATATATATATATATATATATATATATATATATATATATATATATATATATATATATATATATATATATATTAAAGCATGAGTTGTCTCATTATTATTTTTAGCCAGCGTTATTGTGAAAGGTTCAACGAGCCACAGGTAGCAGACCCCCTTTACAAAACAGATGGATGCCTATTCACGCTGAATCAGATGTCGTGCTTTTTCTTCATTAGCTTATTTATCTGCGTCTGCAACCGACCAGATAAATATTTTTTTCTCTTTTATGGTGGTGTAAGACCTTTTAATGGAGAAAATTGGGTGTATTTCTTCTGTGACCGCATGTAATTTCTTGCTATTGACAGGCAAAGATGCTTCAGCCTCTGTAATTCTTGCCATATGTTTTTTTTCTTTTTCTTTTTTTTTTTTTTACGTAAAACATCTAAACCTGTTATGTCTGTCTCTTACCCCTCTACGCCCTCTACATGCCGCACATATCCAGCCATGACAGAGAAAGACTGACACACAAAAGCTTAAAAATTCTCTCCCTCGGGAGATTTTGATAGGTTGAATGTGATGCTGGGCCGTTTTTCTCGCTCTCGCGTCAAAAAACCCTGGCAAATTTAGACCGAACACCTTTATCCGTTCCCCCTCATTCATATGTATGAGAGGTGACTGACAAATTCATTGTTGTGTAATTACAGTGTGGTGAACCTTCATTGTCTTTAGATTGGTAGAGACTGAGACATGCTGTGCTTTGGCTTGCTGCACTAATGCAAACCTCTTCCATGTAGATAT